GAGATGGTATCCATACAATTGAGACTGAAACTCTTGCTCTTTGCATTAATAATGTTGTTTATAATGGATGTTACAACATTCCTATTGTCTATTTTGCATGTTGGGTTTTTAAGGGCCTGAAAAGCCGACTTTAAATCACAGAAAATTACTCCTCCACTGTTATTCAGTGCATTAATGGCAAGCTGAAGTGCAGCTAATTCTGCATATATTCACCTAGTTGTGCTTGCGGGAGTTGAGCTCTGTTCTTTCGGCCCGCCTCCCAACTGTCAATCAACGATCATTTTTTTTTCTCTCTCTCTCTCACACATACACCCCACCCCTGGGCATGGACGTAACACCTAATCTATCTCCTGAAGCCCATATAAATAGGATAACGACAGCAGCGTATTCTACACTGGCAAAAGTTAGAACATCACTCAGAAACCTAAGTAAGGAGGCATTCACTTAGTTTTTTCACGCTTTACACTGCCTACGTGAGGTCAATCTTAAGAGTATGCCGCCTCATCATTTTAGTTTAGTTCATTTATTATGCACCCCATACCCATCTTGTGGGCGGTAGTGGAAAGGGTTACAGAGGCACATAATGGGCTCAGGGACTGAACCCCACAATTCATTTAGCTAAGCAAGTTACAATCTTGATGAGCTAGTTACAAAATTCAATATAAGTCATCACATCAACAATGGGTTCGAGATCGACCTCAAGTACAGGTTCTAAATTAAGCAACTGACATATGTGGAGAGCTAGTGTCAAAATTTATATGTTTGTCCTGCACACCGCCCCCCATCCAGTGGGCAGCGGTGGATAGGTTACAATCACTTAGTTACTACCTACAGTTAGCAAACTGGGGATATTTGGCTAAAATTTCTGGTAGCAGATCATTTTGAATGAAATATTGACACATCGCTGGAACATTGGTTATAGAATTGTCTCTAAATTCACGTATCTTTTCGCACTCCATCACATAGTGACGGAGGGTGTGCGAATAATTTTGTTGACACAGTTTACATTTGGTCAGGTCTACATCAGCAGATAATGAGAATTCCCAGAGATACTTGTAACCGAGTCTAAGCCGAGCAGTAGTAACATCTAGAAGTCTGCTGATTTTATTGGATGATCCATAGATGTGTGGCTCCTCTTGCATGATAGTATGATGATAGATGGAATTACTGGTGTCAATTTCACTTTGCCTCAGATCTACAAGATCTTGTTGAAGTTCTCGGTGTACAGCTGCTCTCAGATTGCTCATTGACAATCCAAGGTTACACTCAACGGCTCCTTTAAAGGCAGATTCTTTGGCTAACTTATCAGCTCTATCATGCATTCGGAGGCCAACATGAGATGGAGACCACATGAAATGGACTCTGTTACCATCCTTAGTAATTTTGTTGTATTTGTGTCTAGCTTCGGACACGAGCATGTTACAGTTATGTCTTAAAGAGTTGAGAGCATTTAAGGATGATAAGGAGTCACTTACAATTAATGTATCAAGTTTTGAGACTTGTACACATTTCAGTGCAAGGATCAAGGCAAATAGTTCAGTCTGAAGGGTAGAGGCCCAGTTGTTTATACGGACTCCCCACTCAAAGTATAGGCCATCGCCCATTGTCAGGACAACTGCACTTCCAGCTGCACCCGTGGTGCGGTGTAGGGAACCATCAGTGTATATAATTTGAGAGAGAGAATGCTCTGTGGACAGAGCATCAATATGGCTTAAGGCGTTGAGCTTTGCCTCAAGACGAAGCTTGGGCTGATCTCTAATTTGCTTCTTGGGTGGAAAGGGAGGGATTAAAACTGGAAAGGGTGTAACCTCCCACGGTGCAGGAAAGTGCCGCTGTTGTTTCTCTTGGTACAAATCATGAACCTGATACATTCTGAGTTGAGTTCCAGTTTTTGTTATCCATTTGGAACAATGCTGATCTTCAATAAAGAAATTCTGGAGGGCTTCTGTGCAAGGATTAGGATGAGTTAGCCTAAGCATTTTTATACCAATTTGACAGTTAATTTCAGTAACACGATCAACAACGCTCAGAATATTAAGTTCCTTTCTCATATTAAGTATCTTTGTGGTACGAGGGCACCCAAGGATTATCCTCAAGGCTTCGTTTTGCAATTTTTCAAGCCCTCCAAGCTTTCTTTCAGGCATCAAAGCAAGCAGAGGTGCAGCATAATCTACTAAAGATCTGATGTATGCAAAGTACATCATTTTGACAATTCTGACATTGGCACCATAGCCTGAGTGATGACCTGCAACAGCCTTGAGAGCTCGGAGCCTCTCTTTAAACTGACGACAGAGTCTGAATACAACAGGACCGTACAGTGGCACCTCAAGGCCAAGGTATTTGAATCTGTTTACATAGTCAAGCTGGGAGCCATCAGACAGTTGCATCTTGCGAACAGCTCCTCCCTGCCTGGGTGGGCGCCGATTTAATATCTTTGTTTTCTCTGCTGAGATAATTAAACCTAGGTCCTGACATGAGTCTAATACAGAGTTAAGAGTGTTCTGCGTGTTAGCATACCCAGCGGTGTGTATCATTATATCATCAGCATAGCTAATGATGTGGACGTTGGGTTTGCTCGGTACAGAGTTTAACAGCGTGTTTATTAAGATATTGAATAAGGTAGGACTGAGGACACCACCCTGCGGGGTGCCTAGTTCAAAGTCTCTTGTTACACTTCTATGCCCCTGGAAAAATACAGATGACTTCCTGTTGGATAAGTAACCCCTGATCCAACAAAGAAGCCGACCACCAATATTCATTCTTGCAAGCTCACTCAAGATAACATGTCTATTTGCAATATCAAAGGCAGACTTAAGATCTAGGAAGGTGGTATATGACTTTTCAGTGTGCAGGGTAAGAAAGGTGGTGATGCAATGATGCACACTCCTTCCATGCATGAAGCCTCATCATGGAGTCCCCATTCTGAAGAATCATATAAGGAAACTGGAAAAGGTTCAGAGGTTTGCAACGAGACTCGTCCCAGAGTTACGAGGGATAGGGTATGAGGAGTGCCTTATGACACTAGAAAGAAGGGAGAGGGGGTTATCTTGAGGTTATCTTGAGATGATTTCGGGGCTTTTTAAATGTCCCCGCGGCCCGGTCCTCGACCAGGCCTCCACCCCCAGGAAGCAACCCATGACAGCTGACTAACACCCAGGTACCTAATTTACTGCTAGGTAACAGGGGCATAGGGTGAAAGAAACTCTGCCCATTGTTTCTCGCCGGCGGCTGGGATCGAACCCAGGACCACAGGATCACAAGTCCCGCGTGCTGTCCGCTCGGCCGACCGGCTCCCCTCGGGGGGGGGGGACATGATATAGATGAAATGTTCACACAGAATAGTAACAGAACGAGGGGACATGGGTGGAAGCTGGAAACTCAGATGAGTTACAGGGATGTTAGGAAGTTTTCTTTTAAGGTGAGAGTAGTGGGAAAATGGAATGCACTTAAGGAACAGGTTGTGGAAGCAAATACTATTCATAATTTTAAAACTAGGTATGATAGGGAAATAGGAAAATAGTCATTGCTGTAAACATCCGATGCTCAAAAGGTGGGGTCCAAGAGTCAATGCTCGATCCTGCAGACACAAATAGGTGAGTACACACACACACACCACACCATACTTATTCCTCTCAATGTTTGCTGATGACGCCAAAAGTTATTAGCACTCTTTTTTACTACTTATGTCATCCATCTTGTTCCCTTTCTTTTCTTTGTCCTTTTTGGCACATATATTTGTACGGGTCCATCTAATTACGCAAAGCTACTCAAGCTTCCTAACAAGCTACCCAAATCTTCCTAACATTACGTTAGTAATGAATAAATATACAGGGGTACCTCAGTTTAAGAGTTTAATTCGTTCCTGGAGACAGCTCGTATTCCCAATAAGAAATAATGGAAAATTAATTAATCTGTTCCTGACTACCCAAAAATCTCATTTTAAACTAAATTTTATACCTAATTCATCTAAATAAACCTACAACACTATGTTCAAGTTATTACTTACCCTTGCTGATGACGGCTGTTGGCGTATGGAAGATGGTGAGGAGGAGAGGTGTTACTGTTTGGAAGGGGAGTCCCCTTCCATTATCACATCAGGCAGTGAGGACTTCACTGGTGTGCACTCTCTGGCACGTTTTACCTGCATGCCACTAGGACTTGCTTGTCTTACTAATTATCTGTCTAAAGACACTTGTTTTTCCCTACATTTTAACAATTGTCTGTAGTAAGACCTCACATTGTCATTTAAAAGGTCAATGCAACGGCCTGCTACAGCTTTATCTGGGCGAGTTTTTTCAACAAAACTTTGCAGTTCTTCCCATACTTTACACATTTTCTTAATGAAGAAGGGACATCCTCTACTAACAACTATTTTCTTAGGTTGAACCTTACCACTGGCTGATTTGGGACCCATGGCGAGATACATAACTTTTATGCTCAAATGGCCAAAAATCCGACAAAAAACTGTAAATCCTTGTGAAGAATTCAGGCAGGATAGTCACTAGGCGGGAGGCACTGGTAAACCGAGGCTTCACTGTGCCACCATGTGCTAGGTCGGCCATACGCGTACTGTATCAACAAACTACGTTACCCGAGACAAAGTTCGTAACCCGATTTGGATTTTAGGAAGTAATTGGGCTCGTAACCTGAAAAGTTCATAAAGAGGGGCATTCGTAAGCAAAGACAAGCCTTGTCTTGTATCAAGACAAGCATTTAAGTTAATATCAGTGCAGTCTGCCCAATGCCCCTCTCTCGTGTTAAATATATTTTTTGTGTATAAAAATTATTTTAAAAATTATACATTATGGAAAACAATATACAGTACAGTATTTACAAACAAGTTATAACATCACAAAATTAATCTGATATGCACTATTTTCTATAAGATTCAAAGCAAAAAATTAAGAGAAGGCCTGAGTAATTTTAATAACCAAAATTACATATACTGGTACACACTTAATATAAGAAAATTTTCTATATAGGAAAATTAGACGAGCTTAAATGTTTATAATGTATATTTTATTATATTATTATATATTATTGAATTTTATTTATATTAGCCAAAATACCCCCCCCCCCAGTAAATGTTAAAATAAACTACATTTAACTTATGAAATTTAAATTTTTCTCATTAAAAATAATTTCACTAGACATGGTGCACACCACAAGTAACTGTAACATGATTTTAGAAGCAACAGACAAGATAAATAATATATTGCACTATCACTGCTATGTGCCAGGTTCTAAGACTAGACTGATACAAAATACTTTCCAATAATTAAATCAATGTTAAAGAACAATTCTGCCAATTTTGTTTATTTTAAAATAGCAACTGTCATATTAATTGTTAATGTGATATTGAATGTACAAAAGAATTACATAAAGTTCACTTCTAAATATTTATATTAAGAGATTTTGTTTCTTGAAGCAGTCATGAAATCTAGATCAAATATTTATTAAAGTTACAAAATAATATCCTACACTTTCTGACAGGCAATTGAGCAAGTCAATTGTATTTACTCATAGTATTAATTACATAATCAAGCTAGCATGTGATTACTAGGTCATCAGTGCTTCCTTGTGCATGATATTCCTGCTCTACTTTAAACATTTGGTTTTTACCTTAAAAGGCCCATTAAATTAAGCATCACTTTTTAATGTACCAACTGATCTAAAACTATAAACAGATATATATAGTAACAAGAACATTACTTAAGGTATCTTTAGCACCATAAATATTATTATTCATTATAATTTATATAAAATTCTATATCAACAATAGCCATAAAACATCTTTTAAATAAATGTAAATGCTTAAAATGGATTATAATTAGTTTAATACGTATACATGTACTGAGGGGAAAACTGCAGTATAGAAGCATTCTCAGAGTAACATGGCTTGAAGATATGAGAATAAACCACACACCACAAGATGAGATGATGACATTTTGGTCCATCCTGGACCATTATCAAGTCAATTGTGATAATGGTCCAGGACGGACCGAAATGTCGTCGTCTCCTCATGTTCTGGTGTGGGGTTCAGTTCTCAATGTACAGAGACTTGCTTATTATCACCCTTTCACAATCCTTAAAGTTTGCATGTTTCTGAAACGTACCTCATTAGTTTTGTCTAAAATACAATATAGTGTAGTTTGATCTTTGGAGAAAATATTTGCATTTTTAATAATTTTGAAAAATTATGGGATCCTCTTTCTTTTCTACATGTAATACTTAAAAGGGCATAAAATCTGGTTGATAGGAGAGTAAGTATGGCAAAATTTAGGTTGGAGGTATACTGCTGGAACCAGATGCTCATTAAAAGTTAAACAATTGGAACAAAATCTCACTTATAATTCATAAACTAAAGTATATATTTTACTGTGCAGTGAATGTACCACAATTAAATAGATCTTTGTAATACTGACTAAAGAAAATTATAAATACTGGTAACTAATATCTTTAAAGAGCAAGTACTGTATGTTTATTGTACTATTATACAGTTCTTAATAAATGGAATTACCTTACAAGTTTACAGTTTTAATATAAGATCCTGCACTAAATGATAATTTATTTCAGAACAATACCTCAACCATTTTACATTGTTACACCTTCTGCCTAGTCTTTACTAAGGTTTTGGTAATAAGAACTCAGGACCTTCCATGCTGATAGGGCCATGAAACCATCAGGTGGATTTTCACCACTCCTAGCAAGTGAGCGCATTTTGGTGCCAGATATAAATTCAAAGTCTGGTTTTCGTGATGGATCATAAAAGGCCATTTTACCAGCTGCTGTATCATATGCAGCAACTCGAAATGGAATTATCTCGAGCTGAGTGAGGCCGGGAGCCATGGTCAGAACTTTGCGGCCATGCTGTGGGTGATAAAGATCTTTCTGGGTGTGCGGGTGTGGCATACCGGCTGGATCACGTCCAACAATATAGAAGTTGGCGCCAGTAGCCATACGTGCCTTGGCATGCCACTGCACTTCAGTAGGTCCTGCATACATCATTGGCGAGGGGAAGATTGCTAATACTGTTGTTGATGGATCCAATACTCCTTCCTTCAGTACTAAAGCCCACATGAAAAAGAAAAATAATTGATAATGTTTTCTGCATTATATAATCTTTAGTATACCTTTGGAATAAATCCAACACAAAAATATTAAAAACACAAAAGTAAAAATGCCTCAAGAAGCTGATGTAACACTTATAGCTTCTGCTGTATTTGTTACTTAAGAATTTTTAATTAATAGACATTTTTCTTGAAAAAAGTAATAATGATTTGTCTTGATAAATATATAATTACCAAGTTATAATATTTAATTAAAGAAAAGCATTAATTTTTAAAGAAATAATTAAAGAAAAAAAATGTTTATTTTCTATAATGCAGTATTGATATTGTTTAATTTACCTTTTATTTGGTGTTGGCTCTATGGAAGTAAATAACTATATGACATACAGTATGTTGAATAATTATCATTTTGTGTTGATTCTTAGTTCCAAGGAGTTACACAGTGTGACTAACCATTAGATAAACACTAATTACCTAAGTACAGTACAGTATAGTCACAAGACGAGAGCTACGCTCGTAACGTCAAGTCTTCCCAGTAGACTTCTCAGTATCTTCTCAAGATAACCTCAAGATAACCAAGTACTCCTTGTTGTATTGACACAAACTACTTGATGGTATTGGTATACATTGCTTTTCACTTGTCTCCACTGTTTACCACACTGTTTACAAAAGAAAACTTTCTAATATTTTCTTGGCACCTTTGTACCCTTAGCTTGAATCTGACTTCTAGGTCTTGAAGTTGCAAGTTTCAACAATTCCTCTTTATCAATTTTGTTAATCTCTTGTTACTTTTTTCTATGTAGTGATTATGTTGCCTTTTTTCCTTCTAACTTTGGCATATCAAACACTTCTAGCTTTTCATTGTAGCTCATATTTTTTCAGTTCTGGAAGCCATTTAGTAGCATATCTCTGCACCTTTTCCAGTTTATCGATGTACTTCTTGAGGTATGGGCACCATACAACTACTGAATACAGGTATTCCAATTTTGGTCTCACAAAAGTTGTGAACACTGTTTTTATTACTCTGTCGTCCATATATTTAAAAGTGATTCTGACGTTGAAAAGTGTAGCAAAGGCTCCTCTCACAATGTTCTATATAAGGTCCTCCATTGACAGCCTACTATCCAGAACCACCCCATGATCACTCAATCGATTGATATTTATTTATTTATTTATTTATTTACAAGAAGGTACAATGGGTTTGCGAGAGTACATAATAATGGTATTTTTTTCATTCATGTAAAGCCAATAACAAGGATAGCGTTTTGAGCAGGTCCTTAATCTAACAGATCAGGTAAGATGAATAACAACATTGTAGCAAAATTTTATATCAACATTTAACTACAATATAAATTTACAGAGATGATTACAATGAAGATGTACTAGACTGATTGTAAGTAAGTAATTATCAAAAGAAGGCACCAAACCAGGAAGGCTATGTAGCACCATCAAATGTGCAGAATAATCATAGGGCGCTAAATATCACTGTGGATGATACATGTGTCAGTAATGTGTTGTCGCAATATGAGAACAAACGCATAAAACGAATGATATCAAAGGTATCCGATTCACCAAGAATTGTATCGAGGGACAGTCGGGAAGTAAGACACACGTTCGTCCTGGAAGGTAGGACATTCAAGAAGGATATACATGACCATAAGAGGGATAATGCAGTTTGGACAATAAGAAGCAGGGTGGCTCTCCATTAATTAAGTGCTTGTGAGTTAAACGTGTGTGGCCAATACATATGGAATATTATAAAATATGCCACACACATAACATGCAAAGTATGTGACAAGGCTTTAAAGAACTCTGATAAAGAAAGATCTATAGGTGGTTCTGGATAGAAAACTGTCTTCCGAGGATCACATAATGAACACTATGTGAGGAGCCTATGTTAAGCTTTTTAACTTCAGAAATGCTTTTAACCCTTGTGCTGCTAAGGGCTATTTGGCCTTTGTCACCCACAGGTGTATAAAAAAAAAAAATCTTATAAACCTGTTAATTTGTGTTCCCAGATCACGGGAAAAATAATAAAAAAATCGTAAGTGGCATATTTTGGCCACAATAGGGCGGGGGAAGTCTGGCCAAAAAAGAGGCGCTGACAGCAAGTGTCAGGGAAGTTTTGCTTCACCAAAGCTGTCAGGCAGGGGGGTTGCCACAAAGATATAATTACCTAATTATTTCAATGTCTCCGATTGATTTTTTCTTAGTTTTTTTGCAGTAATGTTATTCAATAGTGTAGTGTGACATTTATATAATAAAATGTGTGACTCATCGCTGTACTCAAAATTATTGTGTGCATATTATTGATTAAATTATTATGTTCATAAAACAGTGAACAAATACTTTGTTGGTTATTACATTATATACACAGGTTATATATAAGTATCTGCATGTTTTGTTCACCATAAGTTCATAATGTGAGTCAAAATGCAATGAGGAGTGGCCACATCTGCCAGCCAGCCACTCGCCACCACTCCCGCCCTCAAAAACTCTTCACTCGCCAAATTCCTCCTCCCACCATACTGTTTTGCTTTTATTTTCTATATACAGATGTTATATATAAGTATCTACATGTTCTGTTCACCATAACTGTTCATCTATGCTGGTATAGTGCACAAGAAGCATAGTGGCCACCCTTACACAGCATGACAAGTCAGGAGAAGATGCCTCCTCCCTCACCAAAATGGCTTTTCCCAACACTCCTTTTGCTGGTATTACACTATATATACACGTTATATATATATAAGTATCGACATCTGTGTTCACCATAGCGAACCACTAATCTTGTATGGTGACGGCAGACAGTAACAGGTGGCCACACACAACTCGTGCTCCCTCCCTCCCTCACTGGTTCAAGGCCAGACGCACTAACATTCCTCCTTCAAGTATACTGTTTGTGGTGTTATTACCGTATATACACACATTATATATAAGTATCTACATGTTTTGTTCACCATAACTATTCAACTAAGCCAGTATAGAGCCCAAAGAGCATAGTGGCCACCGTACCCAGCATGACAAAGTCATGCAGGTGTCGCCACCTCCCTCACTAAAGGGCTTCTCCCAACACTCCTTTTGCTGTTATTAAACTAACTAAAAATATATTATATATATATATATATATATATATATATATATATATATATATATATATATATATATATATATATATATATATATATATATATATATATATATATATATATATATATATATATATATATATATATATATATATATATATATATATATATATATATATATATATATATATATATATATATATATATATATATATATATATATATATATATATATATATATATATATATATATATATATATATATATATATATATATATATATATATATATATATATATATATATATATATATATATATATATATATATATATATATATATATATATATATATATATATATATATATATATATATATATATATATATATATATATATATATATATATATATATATATATATATATATATATATATATATATATATATATATATATATATATATATATATATATATATATATATATATATATATATATATATATATATATATATATATATATATATATATATATATATATATATATATATATATATATATATATATATATATATATATATATATATATATATATATATATATATATATATATATATATATATATATATATATACATATATATATATATGTCGTACCTAGTAGCCAGAACTCACTTTTTGGCCTACTATTCAAGGCCCGATTTGCCTAATAAGCCAAGTTTTCCTGAATTAATATATTTTTTCTAATTTTTTTTTTATGAAATGATAAAGCTACCCATTTCATTATGTATGAGGTCAATTTTCTTTTATTGGAGTTAAAATTAACGTAGATATATGACCGAACCTAACCAACCCTACCTAACCTAACCTAACCTATCTTTATAGGTTAGGTTTGGTTAGGTAGCCGAAAAAGTTAGGTTAGGTTAGGTTAGGTAGGTTAGGTAGTCAAAAAACAATTAATTCATGAAAACTTGGCTTATTAGGCAAATCGGGCCTTGAATAGTAGGCCAAAAAGTGAAATCTGGCTACTAGGTACGACATATATATATATATATATATATATATATATATATATATATATATATATATATATATATATATATATATATATATATATATATATATATATATATGTACCTACATTTGTGTTCACCATAAGGAACCACTAAGTTGGTATGCTGAGTCTAACAGCAGCAAGGAGTGACCACCACACACCAGCTAGCCTGCCATTGGCTGCCACTCCCTCCCTCACCTCACAATTTTGTATTTGTTCTATGTATTTCCAATGTTTTTTTTTTTTTTTTATCGTATATGATGCATATTTGTGTCCTTTACAATATGTATACAGTAGAACATTCATAATGTTCCATGGAACTGTGATACATGTATCAGTAATGTTACTTCGGAAGTGAAAAATAATCAACGAAGTAGTCCATGGTACATAGCGCGACTTCGCTCTCGTTGCACCAGGTACAGATAGATTTTCACTTCCTGTTTCTTCGTTCTGTGTGCTTGCAAATAACGCACTCAAGTACACCTTTGGCATTAGTACCTGCAGGTGGTATGTAGCCAAGCTTGTAAAACTTAAGGTAGTCTTGAAAAGATTACAGGAAAAGATCAGTTTGTAAGGCAGTCGTGAAAAGATCGCTTTGTAAGGTCCCACACAGGAAGAGATTCAGCCAGCCTCAAAGAGTGTCCGTCAGTCAAGAAGAGATTCAGCTATTCTTGAAAATATCTATGGAAAATACCACTAACACTGTTAGTGGCGTTAGTGTGGAAGCCACTAACACTGTTCATCTATGCTACTTGTATCAGATGCATCATCACTGAATGCATAAAACAATTCATCTAAATAAATTGGAGATAGCATAGGTGGCCAAGGGTGGCGCTCAGAGCTACAACTGGATACGCTTGCTGTATCCTCCTCATAGGTGCTGTATCACTTGCATCCAACCTTTGTCTTAGGTCCTTATTGCGCCTAGCTTCACCAATATTATGACCTTTATGTTCTTCAAACAATAAGGTTTGAATTTCATCGACAGAGTGCGAAATTCAACACTGCGTCGGACAGGTGTCTGGGAGTCAGAGGCACGTGCGCCACCCATGGTTGCTTACTCAGTACTAACCCAGCCAGCAGCCCTAGGGCATTCTGGGAATTTTTTCCAAGATGGCTGCCTCTCACTGGAGGTCCTAAGAGTCCATTTCGTACACAAACAACCTCGCGCACATTAAGAATAGGTACGAAAAAATCAAAGATAGTTTTCTTGGTTGGCGCAGTTTCCCACCGACTGAAAATACTCAGTTGGTGCAGTTAAGTGGTTAAGGGTCAAATACATGGTTGTTGAAATATTTAAAAAAAATGTTCACGACCTTTGCGAGACCAAAATTGAAATATGCAGTAGTTGTATGGTGTCCATATCTCAAGAAGCACATCTATAAACTCAAAAAGGTGCAAAGACATGCAACTAAATTACTTCCGGGACTAAAAAACAAGAAGTATGAAGAGAAGCTAAAGGTGTTAAAACACATACAAAAGCAAGAAGATAGAGAAAAACGAGGTGATATGATCACTACATAAAAAATAACAGGAATCAGCAAAATTAACAAAATGAATTCTTGGATTCTGCATCTTCCCTAAACAAGAGGTCAAAGGCTCAAACTAAGGAAACAAAGCTGCTGATTTTTTTTTTAGAACGTTCTCTTTTGCAAACAGGGTGGTAGATAATTGGAACAAGGTGGTGGATGCTAAAACTGTCAGTTTCAAAGCATCATATGACAGAGTACTGGGAAGACAGGACACCATGAGCATAGTTTCATCCTGTAATTACACTTGGGTAATTACCAACCTGCATGATGCTGCTCAATCCTGGTCTTAAGTGGTACATCATCACTCTTGGTCCAACCTCCAAGTGGATGAAGCAACAAAACTGGATTGTGATACCCACGTTCTAACAGCTGCCGACGTGTATCCTGAAATATACGAATTGTATATCTTATCTATGTAAGAGATTGCACATTTGAATGGCAAGGTTGCCATAGATAATTTAGTCATTACATAGAACTAAAACATGTGACATTTTAATTTCTATTAGTTATTTGTTCTTGGTGCTTGAACTTATTACTGGTTTCCAATACATTATGCAGTGTCTGAAAGTTCTTAGAGTTTAACAAAATTAAATTTTTTTTATATTTTTATACAAATAGGCTCATAAAATTCTCTCATATCTAAATACTCTAACTTTTCACTGCTGCTCACATTCATAAACGTCACTGACCATTGTGCTAATTTATACACATCTTTCCTACCTGTATGTACTTGCCAGAGTAATCTCTAACATTTCCACACATTTCTTTTACACAAGGTAAACACCTAGAAAACACCTGCATGGATGTGTTGAGTACAACACATGGAACATTGAGAAAATCAATTGGAGCACCGAGGTGACTTGAACCAGCGATCAGGGTACTCCCAGCTGTGCACCTTACTTCTGTACCACAACTTGATAATAGTTATACATCCTGGGATTTCACAGAATCCACAAAGTCTAGAGGCTTCTACTGAAGCCAGTTCAAGTTTTACAAGTCTCTGGTGATTTTCTCCTCAATATATATATCACATTACAGGTGTGTGATTTCTTTGCGTATTTGAAGCTGGAGCATATATTTGATTAACTACTTTGCCTACACCAGAGTGCAAGGGGGGTTATATGTAACACTTGGATTGGCTTCAGTAGAAGCCTCCAGACTTCCTGTTTATTCAGTGGAATCCCAGGTTGTATAAGTCTTGGCAAAATATCCCCAGTTTGCTAATTGTAGGTAATAACTGAGTGATTGTAACCTATCCACCGCTGCCCACTGGATGGGGGGGCGGTGTGCAGGATAAACATATCAATTGTGACACTAGCTCTCCAAATATGTCAGATGTTTAATTTAGAAATTGTAATTGTGGTCGGTCTCGAGCCCATTTCTGATGTGACGATGTGCATTGAATTTTGTAACTAGCTAATCAAGACCGTAACTTGCTTAGCTAAATGAATTGTGGGATTCAGTCTCTGAGCCCATTATGTGCCTCTAACCCTTTCCAATACCGCCCAGAGGATAGTTATGGGGTGCATAATAAATGAACTAAACTAAAACTTAGACAGTGCAGTATATATAGTTTGATTCTGATATTGATATTGAACTATATAGATATTGAACCTCAAGGAAAACATTTCATCATAAAGTTGAGAACTTACTGTATTTAAAGGATATTGATACTGTATACAATGAATATAAATATTTACCTGCATTAGAAGGGCATGACCATTATGTACAGGATTACGCAACTGAAAAGCAAAAACAGCATCAGCCCCCATCTGCCGGAACTTAGCACGGAGCTCCATAGGTGTTAAGCGGTACTCATCCAAACCATCATTCCATCTGTTTAATAAATTAATTATTAAACCATTAGTTTACATATAATCATAATTAGAAGCTAATTCACTAAACTAATAACATTGAAACATTTAGAGTATTAGTTTCTCATTACACTGGAGTCCTTATGCACTTAACAACAGAAAAATATAAAACCATATTCTGAAAATAGTAAATGATCCCAAACTTGAACAAGTCAGGATTGCACTCTAGCTTCCCTAGCAAGAACCCAGAGTCCACTGTGCAAAACAATCTCCTCTGTTCACATTCCAGGCTTCAGTCAACCTTTACCTTATGAAGGCAAGTAACTTTGCAAATGGTATTGCCACATAATGAGGATATCTTGTACTGTCCTGGACAGTACAAGATATGGGGCAGACAACTGCTAAAGTAAACATGTAGGAATGTAGGAAATTTTCAGTGTATGAGTAATAAGCAAGTGGCATGAACTAGAAGAAGTTATTTAAACTAACTATAAACATAGCTTCAGCAATAGGCGTGATAAGAAGAGGGTTCAGAGGCCTTGCAAGACATCACTGGTGACTGGATGGCAGGGACAGAAGCTGATGCTCATCCTAGACTATCATAAAAGTGAGCACAAACATGTCATTTATTCTTGTGACTAAAGGAAATACTTCCACTTATCCTTGTTCTCTCCCACTTCACATGCACCGGTCACAGACAGTACCTGGTGATGCTTACATTCAACAAGTTTTCCCAGCATCTTTTAGCCTACCTCTACTCCTCCTACCAATAAAATCTCTCAGTCTCTTCGCAACTCATTCTTAATGTGTTCCACTCGATCAAACCATCTCGGTACTCTTGTGTGTTGCACTATACTGACTTGCACATCTCTTCATGAACATTTCAATACATATATTACATCTCCTCTTAACATCTCTCATACTTCCTATAATATCAACTTCTAATGCTCCAGTGTCAATGTCACTGAAGAAAATAACTATTAGTGGTAGGAAGTTGGCTACACATCTTGTAATTTAAAGAAAAAGAATGCTCTAATATCAGAATACTGTACTTGACTACTATACTATGTGGCTTAAATTGAAATTGATAAACTGATAAAAGACTCACTGAATAATAAATAAACGTAAAATTACCAAAATAAGCATTGATAATTTGTTGCTATTCAAAATAATAATAATTAATGAAATAGTAATAAATAATAAATATGAAATAACAAAAATAATTAATAATAATAAATCATTGTAAAAGACAAATATACACTTGTTATATTACATTAATACATGGTACTGTATAGCAAGTTTTAATTCCTTTCTAAAATTGTTGAATGTACCTTATTCTCTCAAGAGCTTCAATATCTCCTCCACAAAGCCAGTCTCCGCTCTCATTAACCATCTTGATATATGGATGATCTTCACAAGTGGTCCCTACAAAAATAAAATTGTGTGATTTAAAAAAAAAAAAATTGTAGGTAAAATTTGAAAACAATAAAATTCATTTGACTAAAAAAATAATTTGAACTTCCTTGAATAGCAATAAATTTAAAGATTATATGCATTGACAAGATTGAAAAATTTTGACATAATATACAAGTACCCAAATGAATAGGTTATATTCCTTGGTAAATCTGAATGATATTTCCATATATGCATTTTTAAATTTTGCTAGTGATACTGATCCCAAGCAAATGCACACTGCATTATAATGAAGAGTATGATTTCTATGAGAACACAAAACATATCACAACTGTTAGTAATACTAAGTTAAATAAAAGTCTGGTACCAGTGTAATTACTACATTGTGTTGCTTTATGAATTAGGAAATATTTCTATACTAAACATATGGTAAATAAATTTGAATACAACAAACCCCACTGGCGTGCACAACGCTCTTCTTTGCGGTGCTCAAAGAACTCTGGTTTTCTCAAAATAGCAACTGGTCGACCTTCATAACGTAATGTGATGGCCGAGCATCCATCAAGCTGCTCTTTATCATCAGTAGAAACTGGCAACACAATTGGGATAGATTGGTTTGATACCCCAGAGTCCAAGAGGCTACCAAAGTGCTGACTCTGAGGGACGAAAAGAAAAAACATTGATCATTGTCTGAATGAAACTTTCTTTTCTAATGTGGTACCTAAGTTGTTCCCATAACCCTAATTCATATGGTCCACCCATGACACCATTCACCTTTAAGCTGTATTTGACTTTTTAACACCCCACCATGACAAAAGACTTTTCAAAAACAACTTGCCACATATTTGGGCCGGAAAAACAGTGGAGAGTCATTGTCAATTCACCGCCAATCAACTTACTACAATGCAAAAGAAATATCTGAAACTTTCACCCCCCCCCTCCCCAAGCGATAATTAGAAACCTAAAGATCACCAATAATTTCCCATGTAAAGTACAGCCACCAAAATAAAACTACCAAAACCACCACTAGATATCAACAGAAATAACCTCAACACCACTGAAGGAACAACAAAATGGAAACATGAATAAGGGAAACCAAAGGAGGCCTAGTGGCCCATGCAAAGCAGCTTCTATTTACACCCACCCAAACTCATTCATATATACGTCTCGCCTTCATTTGAAGGATTTCAGCAATCCCACATCTATTATGTTATCCAGTAATCAATAACCCTATTCCCAAGTCTATATATATCCGGGTGTTTTCTGAATCTAAAGTTATTTAATTTGTATTTTTTTGTGTGTGTTCTATTTGGTGCTGATGTAATTAACATCTTATTAATATCCCCCCTTGTTATACCTTGTCATCCATTTGGATACAGTACAACTTCGATTCAACATACCCCGATTCAACGAATCTCTGGCTAGGTCACACACTTTTCAGGCCAGATTTACTCACCCGTTACGACGAACAATAGTTCACCAAAGTAGGGGGATGTGCGGATTTACTTACGATGTTGGGACAGAGTTCACAGACTGGTGGAAAACTTTCCCAATCTATCAAAGGTTACAATTAATAATTCCTTCATATGACAAGTTGGATCACACAAACGGACCACACAACAAGTGAACCATATGAACCAAACACCAGCCAGAATGGTCCACACAAAAGTAAAGCATATTAACCAAACACCAGCTAGAGTGGTCCACACAAGTGAATGACTGTTTCCATGATTTTTGTTCACTGATATGTGACACGTGTATCTTTGCAGATTAATTTAAAGGCTGAAGCGTGAATAGCTAGCTAATGTCTTGAAATCTTCTTATACTGTATACATTTTCTGCGATGAAAAAAGATGAGTGAGGGTGGACAGATAAGGGAATACTGTACTGTAAACCTCCCTGTAAGGTTTCACTCACTCTCGTCTGTGTCGTCATAGTTCAGTGACCCACGACCGAGTTTCAGATTAATAAATCATTTCTAAAACCAGTGTTTTAATAGCTCTTTATTATCCTAATTAAACTAAACTAAATAAAACCAAAAATATACTGTAATAGGATAGACATCTGCTATTTAAGAAATTATTCATGTTATTGGCACAAGAACTCCAGAAAGAGTGGACGAGTCTAATCCGTGTGCATGCAACGCCATGCGTGTTTTGTTCGATTTCGTCGCCACAGTTCAGCGACTTACGGCTTCGAAATAATAAAATTAATGAACCGGTTCTAAAATAAGTATTTTTTATAGCTCTTATTATCGTAATAACGTTGTTAAACTAAATAAATAATCCAAAAATATATATTTTGATGTAAATCCAATATTTGAGAAATTTATGTTACTTGATCTGGCTTAAACACCAGTCTACTGTAGGGTGTATAGACCTAGTCTGCGTTCATACAGTAGGCACCCAGTGCCATTAGCTTTGTCTGCGAGTGACATGTTTGTCCACTGGTGGAAGAATAATTGTGGAATTTACCATTTTTTTAATACAGCTGTATTGTTATATAACAAGATGTCTCATTCAATATAACAAGATGTTATATTGGTCTGAATGGACCAATATAACAATATTGGTCCATTCAAAACAGAAAAAGTGCTTCATGCAACGAGAGGGTTTAAAGACTGAGGGTGATATTGCCAAGGAACATGATATGAAACAAGTTATGATCAGAAGGTCCTTAAGGGGCAGACAGCATCATTGTGTGTCAAGATATCAGAAGATAAATTATTATTTTTTTTTTAAATATATACAAGAATTCTTACATTCTTGTACAGCCACTAGCACACACAGCATTTCAGGCAAGTCATTAATCCTAATTTCCTCAGGAATACAACCCGTCAAATTGTTTAACCAGGTACCCATTCACTGCTGTGTGAACAGAGGCTGCAGTTAGGGATTGGTGTCAAGTAAGTCCTCTCCAGCCAGGATACGAACCCAGGCCAAAGCGCTCGCGAAACGCCAGGCGAGTGTGTTACCACTTAGCCACGGGGACTGCTATTTGTGGGTGTGTGGAGTATGTGCATGTTGATCTGCAATACTCAATATATATAGGATGGGACAATACTCAATATGCCATATATATATATATATATATATATATATATATATATATATATATATATATATAGAGTGGATCAGCAGATTAAGAGCAGAAAAGCTGAAAATGGCTTTTCACTAAGGCTTAGTAGTAGACTGAAGCTCCACAAAATATGACTTTTGTATATGACAAATGACAAACAAGATAAGGAGATGACAAAAGTTTTTCTGAACAGCAAGATAAAGAACAATTAGTAGTTAGAAAGATTAGAAGAGATTAGACAAATAAAATAAATTTAGTAACAGACAGACAGACAAATCTCAAGCTAAAGAACATCAAAATTTGGTGACTCAAGACTCAAACAGCAGGTAGGAGAAGGCACAACTGCCACCTGTTGAGTGGAAGATGGCAAAAAGCTTACATATAGACACAAAGATGTGGTCAGTGGAAATAACATTAGAGATTTAAGTTGCACTAATATATGATGATTAGGTAAGATAACTGATATCCAACAGAAGAGAAGTTAGAAGATTGCATATATTACAACAAACCTGTTGTAAAAGAAAAGTTGGCCATATAAGACATGGGAACATGGGTGGAGCTCATACTGACACTGTCAGGTACAGCCATTGTCAGTGACTTCAGTGTACTTGGCATCTGTGAGAGGAGGGTTACCCAGATAGTCAAACAGTATGGGCTGCCTTAAGTATTATTTTGTTTTTATGTTTTCCTTTTCCTGAAATATTCTGTTATGGCAAATTCCCTTCATTTATCAGATGGTGCTGATCAAGATAGTAGTGTGTAGTTCAGCTTTTTTTATGAGGAGAGTGCAAAGAAATAAAGAAAACTGATATTTCTAGTTTTGCATTATAAACATGATGTACCTGAAGCCACTATAAGTCTAATTAAGTGATGCAGTACGGACATATTTCTATTATAACCATTAACATACCTGCAAGAATTCTCTCTCCCTCATAAAGCCAACAAGGGGAGATGCCCAACCTTCTGAGAGTACCTGAAGCCACTGTAAATCTAGCTTAGTGATACTGATAGAAGGAAGTGATTCTGCCTCCTCTTTGGCACTTGTTAATTTGTTGTCTGGGACAAACAATTCCTTAACTGTTTCAGTTACAGACTTTGGAATGATTTCCTGAAAAGAGAGACCATTACTAGTACCAAACACATACATGAGTAAAATGGTCAAATGCAGGTACAGTAACTGTATTATGAAACAAATACAATAGTACAGTAATTAGAGAAAATAATTGGAGTAAGACAGGGATCGAACCAGTGTCCTGGGTAAGCCCAGATACATACCTTAACCAATGGACCACAATATGCTAGATTACACAATGTGGAATCTGCCCGAAGAGTCCCGAGTCTGGTAGCCAACCTGTTGGGAAAACCTGGGAAACCTACTGGAGATTTTGAGGATCAATGTCCCCATGGTTGCTGGGCTGATCAACCAGGCTGTTTGATGCAGCTGCTCACAGCCTGGTTGATCAGGTATCCTTTAAAGGTGCTTGTCGAGTTCTAGTTTGAACACTGCGAGATGTCAGCCAGTTGTGCACTGCTGTTCAGCTTGTGACCACAGCATTGCCTAAAAATGTCAAAATATATATGTTCATGCTATTATTTAGCAATGATAGTATTTACAGAAGACCCCTGACTGTGACAAAACTGACCAGGATTCTGATAATAGCAGGATTGTGGTGATATTTAGCGTTGTGCTCCATGGAGGGAGGAGTAATGCTGTGGGAGGGAGGGAGGGTGGTGGCGTTGTCTTCTGACTGTGTGTGGCCACCTTTTATTGACTGCACTCACCATACCAGCTTAGTGGTTCGCTATGGTCAACACAAATGTAGATACTTATATATAACATATGTATAGAGTGTAATAACAGCAATAGTAGGAGGTTGGGAGTCACCATTTTGGTGAGGGAGCGTCGTCTGCACAACTTGTCATGTTGTTTACTGATGGTCACTATGGTCTTTGGGCACCATGCCAGCTTATTTGTACAAGTATGGTGAATAAAACAGGTAGATACTTATACAGTATATAATGTGTGTATATAGCGTAATAACACCACAAACAATATTGCTGGAGGAGAAATATTAGTGCGTCTGGCCTTGAGGGCGGCTGCCTCCAGCTGACTGTGTGAGTAGCTACGTCTTATTGCCTTTACTCACCATACAAGCTTAGATGTACAGTTATGGTGAACAAAACATGTAAATACTTATATATAACGTCTGTGTATATTGAATAAATGCATTTTATTATATTTTAATATTATATTATAAAATATTATTATATATTATTATATTAATATTATTATAATTATATTTTATATTATATTTTTATTATATATAACCTGTGTATATAGTGTAATAACAGCAAAACTATTTGTTTATTGTTTTATGAACATAATAATTGAATCACTAATATGCACACCATAATTTTGAGTACAGCGATGGTTCACACATTTTATTATATAACTACATCACAATACACAGTATTGAATAATATTAATGCAAAAAACAAAGAAAAAATCAATCAAAGGTATTGAAATAATTAGGTAATGATATATTTGTGGCAACTGCCGCCTGACAGCTCGGACGGAGTAGACCTCATCTGGCGAAGGTTCTGCCAATGCCCCCTTTTTGTCAGACTTCCCTACCCTATTGCGGCTAAAATATGCCACCTACTATTTTTTTGTTATTTTTTTCCGTGATCAGGGAACTCAAATGAACACTTTTATAAGACGAAAGAATTTTTTGGATTTTTTTTTTGTTGCACCTGTGGGTGTTGAAGCCATTTGGACCCCTCGTGGTTTGAGGGTTAATCTTTTAGGATTCACTAACTTTCTTCTTGTCCTCTGTTCTGTTATTACTTTGTGTACTGTGACATTTTCCACATTGCCTCAGAAGTACAGTACTCTAGTACAGTACCTCTTTCAAAACAGGGTACAAAACTCCCCCCTCTCTAGTGCACATGCACAGAGCTACCAGATTTGAAATGCAGTGCAATGGTTAGCAATGCAGCTTGTGATAGATCGACCTGTCAAGACCGCACTCACAAAGTGCAAGTTTCAGGGTTGCTTGTCGGCATTGTTACATATGGCTGGTCTTTTTTCGGCTTCTGAATAACACATTTGTTGGGCATTAACCTCTGCCCCGAGACATGAAATGCTTGGATTCGCTATTTCACAGTTTTAGCTTCAGCCGCTTGTCTTTTTGTTTTCTTTGTTTTTATAGTGATGAAGTTCAACAGATGGCATGCTACTGCTTCAGGTTTGTTTGACAATTTGGCTGTGTGGCTTTGTGTCTGAGTAGTTGCTCCAGAGTTAGTCCTTATTTTTCAGGGTTCAAGAGTGGCAAGTGTTAATTTCCCTACTTTTTTATTCTTTGTCCGTATTGCTTTTGCCAGACCCAACTTTTATTTCCTCCCAACCCTGCTAAGGTTGAACTTCTGGCCCTCCCCTTTCTTGAGTTGAGTTGAGCTGAGCTGAGTTGAGCTGAGCTGAGCTGGCCTGGCCTAGGCCAGTCTAGCCTAGCCTACACTCTGGGCTCAGTGGTGTTTCTAGGTTTTGAAGCCTGAGCTGCTTTTCACATAGAGGTGTAACTCAGTCTCCTCCAGGAATTGCCCCATCCACTTCGACATCAGAGGCAGTTGAGCCCTTGTGTCCTTTCTTTCCTTCTCTTTCTGGGGATATTTTTGGCTCAGATCCCTTTAGTTAGAGATGGTGCCTTCCCTTCTGTTTGTATATATCCAAGTATCTGGCAAGGAGCTTGACCCTGCCCGGGATAACACCAACTCACAGTATCTTTCCATGATGTGGCACTGTACCCACACGAGCCCGATAACTCTCCCATGAAGCAACATGAGTGTGATCACAGGAATCTGCTCTCTCTAATCCCTGGCAATGGGGTGAGAATGAAGGATTTGACTACTACACAAAGTAGTAGTTATTTGAAAGTTATCTGCTGTGTTTGTATAGTGTTAAGTGTACATTTTCTAGGAGGGATGGACATTTATAGTAATATATTGTCTGTTTCTATGAAACATGTAAGCATTTCATTATTAAAATAACTTATTTCCTCTAAATTGTTACATTTGATTTGATATTATTTCCAATATGGAGTTAAATAAAACTTGAATGTAGAACACAAGTGGTTTGCATCAATACAACAGTACTATTGTACTACATCACATGGTAGTTACAAACATTGTACTACATCACATGGTAGTTACAAACATTGTACTACATCACATGGTAGTTACAAACATTGTACTACATCACATGGTAGTTACAAACATTGTACTAGCTCACATGGTAGTTACAAACATTGTACTAGCTCACATGGTAGTTACAAACATTGTACTAGCTCACATGGTAGTTACAAACATTGTACTAGCTCACATGGTAGTTACAAACATTGTACTAGCTCACATGGTAGTTACAAACATTGTACTAGCTCACATGGTAGTTACAAACATTGTACTAGCTCACATGGTAGTTACAAACATTGTACTAGCTCACATGGTAGTTACAAACATTGTACTAGCTCACATGGTAGTTACAAACATTGTACTAGCTCACATGGTAGTTACAAACATTGTACTAGCTCACATGGTAGTTACAAACATTGTACTAGCTCACATGGTAGTTGCAAACATTGTACTAGCTCACATGGTAGTTACAAACATTGTACTAGCTCACATGGTAGTTACAAACATTGTACTAGCTCACATGGTAGTTACAAACATTGTACTAGCTCACATGGTAGTTACAAACATTGTACTAGCTCACATGGTAGTTACAAACATTGTACTAGCTCACATGGTAGTTACAAACATTGTACTAGCTCACATGGTAGTTACAAACATTGTACTAGCTCACATGGTAGTTACAAACATTGTACTAGCTCACATGGTAGTTACAAACATTGTACTAGCTCACATGGTAGTTACAAACATTGTACTAGCTCACATGGTAGTTACAAACATTGTACTAGCTCACATGGTAGTTACAAACATTGTACTAGCTCACATGGTAGTTACAAACATTGTACTAGCTCACATGGTAGTTACAAACATTGTACTAGCTCACATGGTAGTTACAAACATTGTACTAGCTCACATGGTAGTTACATTGTACTAGCTCACATGGTAGTTACATTGTACTAGCTCACATGGTAGTTACATTGTACTAGCTCACATGGTAGTTACAAACATTGTACTAGCTCACATGGTAGTTACATTGTACTAGCTCACATGGTAGTTACAAACATTGTACTAGCTCACATGGTAGTTACAAACATTGTACTAGCTCACATGGTAGTTACAAACATTGTACTAGCTCACATGGTAGTTACATTGTACTAGCTCACATGGTAGTTACATTGTACTAGCTCACATGGTAGTTACATTGTACTAGCTCACATGGTAGTTACAAACATTGTACTAGCTCACATGGTAGTTACAAACATTGTACTAGCTCACATGGTAGTTACAAACATTGTACTAGCTCACATGGTAGTTACAAACATTGTACTAGCTCACATGGTAGTTACATTGTACTAGCTCACATGGTAGTTTCATTGTACTAGCTCACATGGTAGTTACATTGTACTAGCTCACATGGTAGTTACATTGTACTAGCTCACATGGTAGTTACAAACATTGTACTAGCTCACATGGTAGTTACATTGTACTAGCTCACACGGTAATAACAAACAATTACAAACATTACACGAGCTCACAAGGTAGTTACAAATATTGTACTATCTCGTATTGCAGTTAGAAATACAGACTAATCATATGGTAGTTAGAAGCATTACTAGATCACATGGTTGGTTAGAAGCATGTACTAGATCACATGGTGGTTAGAGGAATTACTAAATCGCATAGTGGTTAGTAGCATTACTATATCGCATGGTTAAAAATTCTATACTAAATCACATTTCCCATACTATATTATCAAAATGTATTGTCCTGATATACAGGACAATACAATATCATCATTATTTTTGTAGCAGTAACCTTCCTGCAAAAGAAAAATCATCTCCCTCTTTTGTTAGTCTTAAGGCAATTAAAGCATGACTCACCCATTCCTCAAGTGTATCCAAAACTTGCTGAACACACTCATCAACTGAACAATGGTGCGTCTTTAGGACTACGTTGGGAGCTTCAGGTTTCTCATACTGCGAGTCAATGCCAGTAAAACCTACAAAAGTACAGTACAATATAAAATATATTTATTGCAATACACTTTACATAAAAATTCCATTAGTCAAATGCTTGAAAAGATAAAATATAAATATCCAAAATTAGATATGTTAGATAAATATATACATATGTTTAACCATTCTGTCTAAACACTTCTCTTGTGTTATTCATTGTTTAAACAAATAAATGATGACGATCTGTAAGATGTTATGGGAATAAAACAAATGAGGCAAGAAAAATATTCAAAAGAAATATTACAAAATGTAAAGGCATTAAAATACATACAAATTTAGTAGGTTATTTACCTTTAATAATACCAGCACGTGCCTTCTTGTACAGTCCTTTTACATCTCGCTCTTCACACACTTCAAGCGGAGTGTCTACGAACACTTCAAAGAAAGGTAAGCCCGATTCTTCATGTATCTTTTTCGCTTGTTCACGATCCTGGAAACCATAAGTGTGCAGACAATAACTATATTTGGAACAATTTTGAAAAGGTAAGGTAGGAGGAGGAGAAGACAACTGAGAAGGAGAAGGATGGACATGGTAAGATATTGTGTGATTACGAGTGGATAAAGCACAGCATAAGGCAAAGGAAAAGACTGGATGGAAACGATTTGTAAGGGAATAAACATACTGTATATAAATAAAATCTACATGACAACCCATGAAAAACATTGTACACTTGGACTAATGAAGTGGTGAGGTGCTGCTGCTATGGATGACTTCTGGAGTGTACTTTTTTGTCATGCTATTATTGTACCGTACTATTGGTATATTGTAATGCATTATAAGCGATAATGAATCGATGAGCGAGGTTTAAAATTTATAAACATTTAATATCCATAACCACCATTTTTTATAAGCCAATTCTTCCCATACCATGAAAGTGGGAAATGGGATTGAGATAATGCATTTATTTACATAAAGTATTTTTAAAAATACAGTACAACACAACACATTATAATTACTCTTTATAAGAACATAATAATAGCAGAAACTGAGAAAGCCTATTGGCCCATGCGAGGCAAATCCTATGTATACCAAACCAAACTTATTCATACAAATTTGAAAAGTATGTTTGAAATAATCTAGCAATCCCACATCTATTATAGTACTTGGTAATCTGTTTCACAAATCAACAATCTTATTTCAAAATTTGGAGTTACAGTACCCAGGTCTTTTCTGAATTGAAATTTATCCAATTTGTGTCCATTGTTTTGTATTCTATTTAGTGTTGATATATCTAATACCTAATTGCTATCCTCTTTGCTATGTCATTCCATCCATTTATAAACTCCTCCTCTTGAATGACACCTATCCTTTGTCCAATCACTTCCTTTGTGCAACACCCACCCTTGTACACAAAGAAATCACATTAACGTGATACTGTATATAGCAATGAGAAAATCGTTTGCGTACCTTACCCTTGTACCACGATTTGGTAAAAGTTATACAACCTGGGATTCCACTGAATTCACAGGTTATTGGGTTGGCTACATAAGACTTCCTGTGAATTCAGTAGAATCCCAGGTTCTATAACTTAAACAAAGGGATGGTACAGCGGTAAGGTGCACAGGTGGGAGTACCTTGATTGCTGGTTTGAGTTTCCTCACTGCTCCAATAGATTTTCTCACCTAACCTTGTGTACTTCAATTATGTCATCCCTTACTTTTTGTTTTTTAGAAAATGTAAATTAAGCTTTTTTTTAATGTTTTTGCATAAAAGTGGTTAATAATTCTAGGATTTACTTTTGTGATAACTTCAAGTGAATTTATGTAAATTCTATAGTTTAGAAACCAAAACTTGACTGCATAATTGAAATGGGTTCTAATATATATATTGTACATCAAATAACCCCTCCTTAAAGCTTTCATCACTTCCTTCCTATTGTGGTCTTCATTTACTGTACTTCATTTTCATTCCACCCATAGCCTGCTTTTTTATTTAACCTGGGCCTAGACAGGCCCAAACCTTATATCCAAGGCTGGATATAGTTAATAATCCTAACCTTGGCAAAAGGCGAAACAAAGGAGCACAGAGCTACCACACCGGAATCTGCAAAAAGTTTAGCTACTTCTGATACACGTCTAATATTTTCTTCACGATCTTCATCTGAGAAGCCCAAGTTCTTGTTGAGGCCATGACGCATGTTGTCTCCATCAAGACAGTAGGAGGGAATACCACGGGAGACGAGGTATTCCTCCAAGGCAAAACTTATGGTTGTCTTGCCTGAAAAAAGTAAATATATCGATAAATAAACAAATAAATATTACATATAAAATTATCTTTAGTCTCTCCAGAGTATATATTAATACATGCCTAAAGAATTTTACTCTAATTTATCAATACATCATTATTTCTGGGGAAGCCCCTTGGTGCATAGCTGAAGCATACCTGGAGAAGAACAAATCCACAAGGGCCGTGACGAGGATTCGAACCTGCGTCCGGGAGCATCCCAGACACTGCCTTAATCGACTGAGCTACGACAGGGTAGCCCAGTCGATTGGTTGGGAAGCATTGCTCTAAAGCCTCTCCACTCTAAAAATCTGGCCAGTTTTGTTCCTGCTTACATGGTTGATCTGATAGGTTGCATTGGTGACTTTTCTTAAGCACTACAATAAATTAACCTACCTGCACCAGAGAGACCAGTGAGCCAAACAGTGCATCCTCTAAAGCCTCCACGCTGTCCAAGAACCTGGCCACGTTTGTTCCTGCTCACATGGTTGATCTGATAGGTCACATTGGTGGCCTTCTGTAAGCACTACAATAAATTAGATGGCAACATTTGTATTACATGTACTTTAGTATATAACAATTATTAATTGGCTAAAATTAACTAAAAAAAATAGAATATAAATGTAGAGGTTCAGACAATCATGGGTAACAGACATGCACAGCCAGTCTCATATCCAAGAAAAGGAGATTCAACAAATTAAAATTTTATTAATAAATAGATTAACCACTGCACTGCTCTGCATTATATATGACAACCCTATGGTGCACCAAAAAAAAATTCTTTCAAAAAAAAATTTTTCTCTTCTTATATTGTTAAAATGCAGTCTCTGATCACGGGAAACTAAAAAAAAATATTGAATGTGACATACTTTAGCTGTGATGGAGCTGGGAAGTTAAGGGGCCAATAGATAGTTTTTTGAAAGTTGTTCAATGTCAACCAATATTTTTTTGACTAGTTGTATATGAAAAGGGCTGCAATTGTTCCAAATTTCAGTACAGTACTGCAGCCTAAATAGAAAGGGAGATTTGATTTTTTTTTTTCAACGAATTTTACACATTTTCAAATCTGTAAAACAACCACAAGTTTCAAATGAAATCTTTTCTGACACATTAGTATATAATAAAGGATCTGATGCCGGGGATTTTCCAAATCATCTTTAGTTTTCCTAATGCAAATGGACAAAGTTCCCCAAAAAAATTCCAAGGCAGGATGTGCAGAATGCCCCTGTTGAAAAGCAGAGGTGCAATAGGTACGCTGAAAAAGAACTATCAACATCAGAGGCCCGCTGAACATGCTTCCACTACACATAAGGGGCATAACTGGTGAACCCTTCACAGTGTTCAAGACAGAATTTGATTTACACATCTAAAGGATACCTGATCAACCAGGTTGTGATTCATATGTCAGGCTGTGAGAAGCCACATCCAACAGCATTGTTGACCAGTCCAGCAACCAGGAGGCCTGGTCGAGGACCGGGCCATGGGGATGTTGAGCCCTGAAATCGTTGCAAGGTAACCACAAGGGACCCGAGATCCAACAAGATCGGAAGATCAGCGACTGATGCAGTGATTGAAGGCGAGAGGTTATGCTTTCTTCTTTATTTATAATGTTGGTGAACATCAGTCCAACATCCAACCAAATCCATTGTGACTGTGGAGTAAGGAGCCAAGTGTTGGTGGATAGATCGCAGTGTAAGGCTAGGAGTAATCAGTGTTAAGTCAAAAGGGGTTATTATTATTATTATGATTATAATCCCCACTGTTATACTGAGGATATGCTATAATGTATTATAAGATTGGATGAACTCTCACCATGAGTGACTTTACTGAGCTTGATTCAGTCAGCTGTGAGATGATGTTATCTGTACATTCATTACTTAAGATTTTCCTTGTATTGTGACTGGTGAATTTAATGTTATTATATACTATTATAAGAGCTGCTATTTGTATAGCAGCTCTTGATACATATCTATACATATTTATTGAGTAGAATTTTACTCTGATATTGGAGAGAATGCTTATGTGCATATGTGGATTAGTATGTTTAATCCATGTTGTGGAGATAAGACTCAGGTGGAGTACTGTAGGGTTGATTAGATGTTTTTACCCCATTTGGTACCACTGTATTCTCTTTGTTTATTAAAAGTTAATTTGTTTAGTCAGGTGTTTTCCTTCTTGCCACTGTTTGTATCTCACCTTGTATGTATGTACTTTACCTGAATACACATTTGATTTTATTTGAATAATGAATCGAGAGTTAGAGGAAGGACACCCAAGTACATAAGAGGGAGAGGACCACCTCTGAACTCATCAGAAGATGTTGTTGATGATTTAGGGGCGACGACGATGGTGGGATGGGATGCGCCCCGGCGTGTACCCGTTAACGGTGAATCGCGAAGCCAGGAAAGGTGAAACGCCAAGCCAAAACGCGAAACGAGTGACGCCAATCACTAGAAACTAATATGCCACACGGCAAATAAACGCACAGTCAGGCAGATGATTGGGGAGCCCCAGGAGTCCCTCAGGGTGACAAGCACCGGCCCCGCCCCACACAGAGAACACCAGGTAGCAAAACTAAAACTCTGGCCCCAACTAAGATGCAAAAAGACATCCAGTGTCCTCCGGCAGAGCAGAAGCCAGCCACCCACCACGACTGAGGGCACACCAGGAGCCCACCAAGACCCGCCAACCCCTGGCACCTCTCGGCCAAGCCAGGAGAACCAGCCAGAACACGACAAAAAAAAAATCTATCAACAATCCCGTGACCCAAGGCGATATGTGCGCCAGGCGTCGTACAATCGGACCTTTGAAGAGGGAAGCCAAACGCGGGAAGCAAAGCCAAAACGCGAAAACAGGACGTGATCCGGCGGCTCCCAGGCGAAGGTGTCCAGACGTCCGCTCGGCGTCAAGGTTGAACCAGGAGTCCCATCAGCAGATGTGAATACGAGACAACAGGTGTGTGGTGAGTTGGTTTCCCATATACAGTATAAGCAGATTACATACAGATGCTTGGAACTCTCAGATGATGCTGCTGGGCTTCACTTAGAACTACAAAGCTTCACTTAATGCTTGAAGGGCTTGCCTATAGTCTCAAGGCTTCTATCTAGGCAAAGCTTGAGGCTGTAGGCTGGGTCCAGTGGCTTTAGGCACGATCGATCCGGAGGTTTCAGGCAGAACTCAGACTCTTTAGGCAGAGCTCAGGGGCTGTAGGTGGGGGTCCAGGGGCTGTAGGCGGGGGTCCAGGGGCTGTAGGCGGGGGTCCAGGGGCTGTAGGCGGGGGTCCAGGGGCTGTATGCGGGGGTCCAGGGGCTGCAGGCGGGGGTCCAGGGGCTGCAGGCGGGGGTCCAGGGGCTGCAGGCGGGGGTCCAGGGGCTGCAGGCGGGGGTCCAGGGGCTGTAGGCGGGGGTCCAGGGGCTGCAGGCGGGGGTCCAGGGGCTGCAGGCGGGGGTCCAGGGGCTGCAGGCGGGGGTCCAGGGGCTGCAGGCGGGGCCCAGGGGCTGCAGGCGGGGCCCAGGGGCTGCAGGCGGGGCCCAGGGGCTGCAGGCGGGGCCCAGGGGCTGTAGGCGGGGCCCAGGGGCTGTAGGCGGGGCCCAGGGGCTGTATTCAGGGCCTGGAGGATTCAGGTGGAGCCTGGCTGCCTTATTTATCATAAGTGACAGGTGTCGCCACACACACACATGTGCCTCTCACACCTGGGGAGTAGCATTTTAAAAGTTAAAGGAAAGTAATTTGCATGTCTGAAACTGCAGATTCGTCAGAAAGCTAATGATTTATTCACGTTTATACGACTGATGTGAAATAAATCTAATTTAATGTGTTACTTACAACATCAGACTTATGAAATATGTTTTCAGTCTTTTTGAACGATATACTGTACTGTATTTACTCTTGAATTTATGACAAACATTGTTTCAGTCACATATACAGTACATATACTGTATACACTTTTTTTTGCCATTTTCGTATTTTTTGTAAGGCTATAAGATTATTATATTTCCCCTTATCTCCTGTTCATCCAACAAGGCTGGAAGCTTAGATATCTCGTGGCTCGAGTAGGGTCTAACACCTGAGAAAATTATGTACTCTCTACGTCATTGCTGTTCTTAAACGAATCCAATTGAACCTAAATAAATTTTGTTTTATATATGGTGTGCCCGAGGTATGTGATGTCACAATGATGTATAATGTTCATGTTGGTGCAGGCTGGATCCTAATGGAATGAGTTGAGGCGGGCTATCTCCTGAGCTGTATATCAACTGTAATGATCTACCAGAAATTTTTGCCACTTATCAAATTTTTAAACTCTAGGTAGTTCATGCATGTGATTGTAACCTTTCTGTCGCCACCCACTAGATTGGTATATGTTGCATAGCAACTGAGGACCACATAAAGAACGTTATGCGAGGAGCCTATGTCGCGCTTTCTAAATTGACAATTGTTTTTAAATATATGGATGGTAAAATACTAAAGAAATTGTTCACGACTTTTGCTAGGCCAAAGCTAGAATATGCAGCGGTTGTGTGGTGCCCATATCTTAAGAAGCACACCAACAAACTGGAAAAGGTGCAAAGAAATGCTACTAAGTGGCGCCCAGAACTGAAAGTCAAGAGCTACGAGGAGAGGTTAGAGGCATTAAACTAGAAGATAGAAGGAAAAGAGGATATGATCACTACGTACAAAATAGTAACAAGAATTGATAAAATTGATAGGGACGATTTCCCGAGACCTGAAACGTCAAGAACAAGAGGTCACAGATTTAAACTAACTAAACAAAGATGCCGAAGAAATATAAGAAAATTCACTTTTGCAAACAGAATGGTAGACGGTTGGAACAAGTTAGGTGAGAAGGTGGTGGAGGCCAAAACCGTCAGTAGTTTCAAAGCGTTATACGACAAAGAGTGGTGGGAAGACAGGACACCACGAGCGTAGCTCTCATCCTGTAACTACACTCAGGTAATTACACTCTTGACCACCACCACTCCTGTCTCACCCACTCTTGCCCACCCCTCTCACTCTATACCCTATGCCACGCCTCATTCCAACCCTATGCATTGGACTAGGGAACAAACATGGAAAGGAGACATTGGCGGGTGGCGGCGAGGGACAAGGTGATCCAAATTAACAAGATGGTCATTCGCATATGGGGGGGGGGATTTCAGAGAGGAACTGAGAGTAATGAGGTTGACAATAAGCAACCTACAAGATGACCTGAGGACAACAAAGGAGGAGATAAAAAGCCTCAATGAGAACACTACTCAGTAACAAATACCAACCCTCCCTCAGGAAGCTGGTAATATATCAGTAGAAGGGACTTCTACAGTACAAGCCTCATTAGCAGAAATGCTTAGAAAGAGCCCAGAAGCTATGTCTCTAGTGAAGGAAATTGCTATGAAAGCAGCCACTTTTCAAAAAGCAGCAAGATGTACTAGTCAGCTGTTGGAAAGGAAAAGAGCAGTAGTCATAGTAGGTATTATAAAACAAGATGTTTCCAGTCAGGTATAATGGGGAACTAAGGACAAGCTACAG